TAGTATGACAATAGAAAAAAGCACAGTCCCTAAAGCATGTTATTATTACACCCCAAATTAATATCAACAAGGAAAAGAGAGGATCATAAATTTGCTGACCTGCTGCCTGTATTAAAACAAAATGCCATATATGAATGGTATCAACATTGATATTACAATGCTCCAAAACGGTGCTTTTGGTTTCAAAGGTATAAGCAATATTTAATGTAATTAACTAAGCCCTTTTTCAAGTTAAAAATAATACCCCATATTAACATAAATTCCAGAGGTTTTGAAAAAACCTAGGATTAAAGGCAAAATTTCAGATTTTTCAGAATTCTTAAGAAATCCTAGGCCAGTAGACATTTTGTTGAAATACTAACTGTTCTTACCTTTATTGTAGGAAACCTGTTAATTAGGGAGCAGTAGTATAGAAAATTCACTATGTCTCGCTCAATTGATAGGACTGCAAGGTCAGACAACCTTTCTTGGCCATCAAAGACCTTAGGTAGTTTTAAACTAATTTTAATTTCCTGAAGTGGCACTCAGGAGTATCAGTTTTTATAGGCAATGTCAAAAAATCCTCAAGACAGTTTTGATATTAGGATATTGGGCTACATTGGGGTACCCCAGAAACCCTGGCCTCCTCCACTTGGCTCCTTCAGATGCCTGGTCATCCTGTCTGTTGGTCACTGGAGGAGCCAAGGGTTTGAAAAGCAACTCTTTGAAAATGTTTTGTTTCTAACCTGGTTCTTGACACTGCAGAATGGCTGAGCTCAAGGGCAGCCCAGTGAACTAAGCTGGGTCCAGATCACAAGTAGGCATTTCTTTCCCACTTGGTCTTTGCAAACTAAAATTATCAGCAAACTGAAACTTTTAAAAACCATGCAGAACTGATCTCAGGAACCAGATGTCTGCTTCATACAGCCAGACATTGTTGATATCATTCTGTTCTCCTCAGCTGAAAGCACTGGGAACTTTTTTTTTTTTTTTTTCCCCCAGAGAAAGAACTGAATGGTGGCTCTGAATGCCAGGGCTCCTGGCCACAGATGATGATTCAGACTGGAAGCCCCCAGGTTAGAGGGCTCATTGGCTTCTATTCAGGAGTGCTTTAGGAAAGGGTACTTTTGTAGCTGGGGCCTGTTCATGGGATGACCACTCACCCCATTTGGCCAGCACAGCCTGTTCTCAAAGCCTGTCCCACCAAAAGAGCAGGGGAGACCCTCGGCAGAAGAGACTGAGGTGGCAGCTGGGACTGATGTCTCAGCCTGGCCCTTAGCATGCTGTTCCCACTGCTGCCTACAAAGTGCTACACCCCTGGACCTCCCACACACAGTCCCCAGAGCCATGGTGTCTCAGTATGCCCCAGCCTCCAGCTGGTGAAGCTCTCTTATCACAGACTGCATCTGGGGGGCCTTGGGAGAGCCCACATACCTGCCAGGGGGCATAGGACTCATTTGCTGTCACCTGCCGATGCATTTGATTTTATCTGGCACCTGCTGAGCAAGGGCACCTGGTGCTAGTGCACTCCTGATTCTATACCCTTGCTATGTTACTGATTAGGAATATACAAAAGTGGCTTGAAACCACCTAAGGTATCCCTCCTCTTCTGCTGTGAGTTGTGCAGCACAGACTCACCTCCGTGGATAATAGTAGAACAAGTTTGAGTTTATGGAGAGAGTGATGGGTAAGCATGTAGAAATCTGTTAAGTGATGTGAATTGAAAAATTATTGGAATTAACCAGCATCTGTAGCTTTAAGCCAGCATCCAATCTCATTTTTGTATGATATTAAAATAATAATTTTGTGACGTGTTGGTGGGTTTCGGAAAAGCTGTATAATAGATGGCAAACAAAGGAAGGTGAACAGGACCTAACAAATTGGTAAAGGTTTGAGAGAGGCAAGCCAGACAAATTGGGAGAAGTGTGGTACATCAAGATAAGGTATGCAAAATATTGACAGAATCAGGAAAAATCAAAGACAGAACATTTATTTGGACCTCATGAACAAATTAAAACTAGGGCAGGGGATTTTCCGCTTTCAGTGTCTCTCCAAATAATTCTGATAAATCAAGTTCTTTAATAGATCAAATAGTACAAGAAAATGCCAGACATAAGGAATAGGAGTGTTATGCTGCCTATTTTTAAAAACAAAGGAGACTTAGAAGACTATGGCAAGTATAAAGACATAAACTTAAGAAATACCATGAAGTCACAGGAAAATTGTCAAGCAAAGAATGAGAAGTCAAAATTGACCACATTGAAGCTTGTGTTCATACTAAGAAGTCAACCACTGATGAGGTCTTTGAAGTGAATCTCCTTATGGAAAATAACTGAGAAAACAGGGAAAAATCATTACCCAGCGTTCACTGAAATGGTTAAAAAAAAAAGCACGACTGCATCAATAAAACTGAAGTGGTGGTTTGAGGAAACTGTTGGCATTAGAAATCTATGCCTAGTGCCATTGCAACATTAGTCAGAAGCACATGCAGGAAGGCCTTGCACAGTTGGGGTACATTGAGGGTCAGCATTAGCTGACATCAGTTTGTGCTAGCTCTGTATACACTCACAAAATACATTTGGATTGGGGGAGAAGGGGCGTGGACAGACTATGGCCACATACAGGCATTACATTTTGATCAGGAATCACCGCTCTCCCAGCAGAAACTAGGAGCATTCATTCAATTTCTCCCAAAGGAAATATGCCCCCTCTGAGAGAAACAGCTCCGAAGCTGACATCTAGAAGATCTCCCATGACAAAAAGTCTCTCTTGCAAAATGAGCACCTGTATGCTGCTCCACCCCTCCATAAGTATGCTGCTCCACTCCTCCACAAACAGCTATCCCTGTGCCCCCTCAAACTGGGTTAGTCTAGAGTGGGGAAGGGGAGGGGGCACCACCCCACTTCTCCACTCCACTGCTTCCTGCCTCTTCCTCAGACTGGGGATCCCTCAGTCCACAGAATTGCAGGGGTATTCCCCTGCTACTCTACTCCCCTCCTTTAGACTGGACTTGGAGGGGAGTAGAGTAGCAGGGGAAAGACTCCCTGCCCATTCCCCATGTCCCAGTCTGTGGAGTCTTTCCCTGACACTCCATTCCCCATCGAAGGATCACTGATCTGGGAAGGTGTGGGTACCATGGGAGAGAGGACAGCTGTAATTTCCACCTGTACTTGAGCTCAAGTATTTGGGGTTCGTTGTTCAAGAAGATGGAAGGATATATAAGAATACAAGGAGCAGAACAAATAAGGCCCACTGAAGGGAAAAAAATCTATAACATAATGATACGGCCAGTGTTAGACTATAAACAGATGTGGTCATTGGAGCAGGATAAGTTGTGTTAGGATGTGTCCTGACAAAGCTAAACCACTTCTTTGGGTGAAACACACATCACAGTTTGTTCCATAGCGTTGAGCCCTTGCCACTGGTAAGGCTTCAGGGGCCTGATCCTGTGAGAGAACTGCAAACTGAGGAACCAACTCAAGACGCCCCTCTAAAACTTGGAGCAATGCTGATTTACTCATTTGCAGAGGCATGCCCCGAGTCGGGGTACAGCAGCACAATATGCATACCAAGGAATCCCCTGCCAAGTGATTTCTGGGGCATGCCTCTGCAAACCGGGGCTTGTGATGCCCCAGGAGCACCTGCCCAGGGTGGCTAGAGAGTATGGACAGCTCTGGGCTGCGTGTGCTTTCCTGCCACAAAGCAAATAGACATCTGCCACAAAAAAGCAGCATAGACGTATACTACTTATTATCACAGCCACAGTTTTGAGCATTTACGGTGCAACAAGGGGCATGGGCATCTTTTGGTGTGGGCTTTCTGCCACCATTTTCTTTATGACAGCATGAACGCAACATCTATTTTCAGGTGTATGATATGGAAAGGAAGTTCAGGCTATAAGGGGAAGGAAAGAGAGAAGACCCAAGAACACATGGCATGAATGTGTAAAACAAAACTAAAAAATATGCATTGTTCCAGAAGAAATGGAAAGTTGATTGTTGAAAATAAGGACTCAAAAAGTGCCCCCGCCCCACCCCCCCAGCAGAAGTAGTAGTAGTAGCAGTATTGGTAAAGTAAGGGGTTAAAATGACAATATTAACCTCTTTAACCAACTAATAGAAGTTTACTAATACTCCTCCCTAGAACTGAATTTAAGGAACACCATATCAGCTATAACCTCTCCGACTGTCTTTCCCCTTCTCCCTAAGAGGGAAATGAAAGTTTCTTCACTGTCTCTAATCTCAGATAATAATGGAATATTTCTATCTCCTCTCCTAAGTGTTTTACATTCCTTCCAATTGCTGCATACCTTCTCCCCTTACATGCCCTTTCTGGACCCTGTTGTGTGCTATCTAGGAGGCTTTATTGGTGACTGGGGAACAATTGTGGTAGTTACAGGTGCTAAGTGAATTTACTGAGATCCTGTTCTTACATGAGGACCCTGCATTCCAGCCATGTTAACTCCTCACCCACTACATCAGTTACCACAGTATTACTGTATCTGTTTGATAATATCTGCAATGGCTGTTGTGGAGGTGTTCCGCAATTTCCGATTTGATAATATCTGCAATGGCTGTTGTGGAGGGGTTCCGCAATTTCCTCTCAGCATACAATCTGAGAATAATAGTAATCACTTATTCAGCTATTTGGGGGGTTTTTTTCTTATCCTTTTACTAGCTCTCTCTTGACTTTTGCTGTTCTCATAAGAGCTTCTTTGCTATTAGTAGCTGTCCCTAGAGTGTCTTTTTATCTCAAATACTTCAAGGACAATCACTCTTTCTTAGTACTACCTTGCCATCAACCACAGTGTATCCAACCTCTTTCCACAAAGCCCTTCCTTACACATTCCCTCATAACGTAGTGTAACAGGGAGCCTCTAGCCCCTGTTACTTTAAGAGGAAGTGAAATCAGTATTATGTGCCTGCAAGAATGCTGGCAGCTGAACTGGTGCCAGCTGTAAAGAGACAGGTAGCAGAAGGGAATCATAGCTACAAGACAGTAACAAGCTGAAAGTCACTTACCTGGAAAAAGCAGGAATAGGATAGGGAGCTGAATTTCAGGCAGCTATTTAAGTAATGCCTGTGGCAGAGCTATAGGGGTAATGAGAAGCCCCCAGGATCAGTTAAGAGAGCTGGGGTCATGTGACTAGATGAGGGTGGAGCCCAGGGCTCTATAAGCTGGAGGGGTAGTTGGGTTTGGGACACAAGAGAGAGAAGAGTTCCCTGAAGTTTGCTGCTGAACTGTCCTTGGCAGCCTCAGAGAAAGTTCTTGGCAATGAAAGGTGATCATGTAGGTGTGCTTGAAGGGACTGAAGCTGCAGAGGCTGGTACCAGCCAGAAGGTAAGAAGCCCAGAAGGGCAGAAGTTGGATGCAACTGGGGGGTACCTTAGGGAAAGGTAAATCCTGGGTGATAGACAGAAGTAGGGAAGGGCCCTGGGAGAGAGCAACCCCAAATGATAGCTGAGGGGGGGGAGAGTTTAAGGGAGAGAAAATACCAGGGTTCAGTTGAAGATGGCGATGACAGCTACAAAGCATGGGGTGGCTAGTAAGGGGTGAGTAGAGGCTACTAGGGGTACCAGAAGACTGTGCTGGAGGGTGCCGAATTACAGGTGTGGGAGCCAGGGTGTTACCCTAGAGGTAGCCCCATGCAAGGTGCCGAGGGGAGAGGCCTCCCCTGGATGACTGTGCTGAGGGTGAACCAGTCCAGAGGACTACTGCAGGGTGCTAAGAGGGAATATGTCCTGGATTTCTCCCCATGCTGAGCAGAGAGGCACACCCTGGATATCTGTGCCGAGGGTGAATGAGTCCAGCAGACTGTGTTGCAGACACGCTTGGAGACATGGTGCTGAAGAGGCAGCAAAGCAGCATGTAAAAGGGCTACTCTGGCTTCTAAAGGCAAATTACAAATTTGCCAAATTCATCATAACATTTTATGCCGAAGGCATGGCAGATGAAAACGGGAGCTGCGACAGAGGCTGGAGAGCAGAGCAGGTAGATTTGATCTCCATGGTGCTTTCAAATCTGGGGTCAGAGCCCTGAATCTTCTACACACTCTGATAAAACTCACCTGTTACCCTGGGAACAATGTGAAAAAAATGACAAGGATTTTTAATAACAATCTGTTTATGCAAGTGCAACTAATTATAACTCTACCTACAGCTAAGTACAGGGAGGTAGATCATGGGGCTCAAGTATTTTCAGCTGCAGTAGTCTTCCACTTATTGTTTCAATCTTCATGTATAACATTCAGCATCTAGTTTCTCCTAAACTGACGTTGACACTGACAGTGCTGCAAACTGGACTAATACCCAAGAATGCCAAAATCCTTATATTCATCATCATTATGAAATACTATAGATATGATTTGAATCTACTGTTCCTGAGATGAGTGTCTTAAACATTCACAACTGCAGCTGTCATTTTCTATATTCTAATTATTTATTGGCAACTCCTCCAGTTAGCCTTTTTTTTTTTTTTCTTAAGCAAAAACAAAAAAAAAAACAAAAAACCAAAGCTGTCACTGCTAATGAATAAGTTTTCTGTGTAATTTATAGCCAAATGCTCCAATACCACCACATTTGCACCAAGGAGAATACCTATGGTCACCACCTCACAAATCTCAAAAGGGCCTTCACCCAACAAGGACACTCCTCAAGAGAGATGGATCGTACCTTTTAAAAGAGCCACCCGGATACCATGTGAAGATTTGCTGCAGAACAGAGAGAAAATCCCCATGAATCACATACCACTAGTTATGACATGCCACACAACCCTGGAACCTACATGGAAAATCCTCAAACAGTTGTCGCCCGTACTAGACAAAGACCCAATTCTTAAAGCGATCTTTCAAGAACTAGCCATTCTAGCTTTAAACAAGAACCAAACGTCGCTAACCTCATAACCAGAAGCAAACTCCCTATGACCCAAAGCACACCAAATGGATACAGACCATGCCAGGACAAGAAATACAAAAGCTGCCAACACATCTCCACCAGTCACATAATAACCACAACAGAACCATCACCATTCCTGGATCTTACACCTGCACCTCCAGAAATGTAATATATCTCATCCAGTGTACTAAATGCCTTGATGGAAAATATGTAGGAAAAACCAAACAACAACTGTGCACTAGAATGAATGCACGCTGGAAATTCATCAACAACAAAAATATCCACTTACCTGTGGATGCACACTTCTCAGTACAGGGAGGTAGATCATGGGGCTCAAGTATTTTCAGCTGCAGTAGTCTTCCACTTATTGTTTCAATCTTCATGTATAACATTCAGCATCTAGTTTCTCCTAAACTGACGTTGACACTGACAGTGCTGCAAACTGGACTAATACCCAAGAATGCCAAAATCCTTATATTCATCATCATTATGAAATACTATAGATATGATTTGAATCTACTGTTCCTGAGATGAGTGTCTTAAACATTCACAACTGCAGCTGTCATTTTCTATATTCTAATTATTTATTGGCAACTCCTCCAGTTAGCCTTTTTTTTTTTTTTCTTAAGCAAAAACAAAAAAAAAAACAAAAAACCAAAGCTGTCACTGCTAATGAATAAGTTTTCTGTGTAATTTATAGCCAAATGCTCCAATACCACCACATTTGCACCAAGGAGAATACCTATGGTCACCACCTCACAAATCTCAAAAGGGCCTTCACCCAACAAGGACACTCCTCAAGAGAGATGGATCGTACCTTTTAAAAGAGCCACCCGGATACCATGTGAAGATTTGCTGCAGAACAGAGAGAAAATCCCCATGAATCACATACCACTAGTTATGACATGCCACACAACCCTGGAACCTACATGGAAAATCCTCAAACAGTTGTCGCCCGTACTAGACAAAGACCCAATTCTTAAAGCGATCTTTCAAGAACTAGCCATTCTAGCTTTAAACAAGAACCAAACGTCGCTAACCTCATAACCAGAAGCAAACTCCCTATGACCCAAAGCACACCAAATGGATACAGACCATGCCAGGACAAGAAATACAAAAGCTGCCAACACATCTCCACCAGTCACATAATAACCACAACAGAACCATCACCATTCCTGGATCTTACACCTGCACCTCCAGAAATGTAATATATCTCATCCAGTGTACTAAATGCCTTGATGGAAAATATGTAGGAAAAACCAAACAACAACTGTGCACTAGAATGAATGCACGCTGGAAATTCATCAACAACAAAAATATCCACTTACCTGTGGATGCACACTTCTCACAAGACAATCATTCCCTCCCTGATCTCTCAGTTCTAATCCTCAAAGGGAACTTACAAAACACCTATGAAACACCTTTCATAGATGAGCTGTCACTTCATAAATCTATGGGATACAAAAAAATCATGGACTCAATATAGATATTGGATTTATGACATATTACAATATGCCTGACATCTGATTCACCAGGTACCTGCCTGGCCTTCCCATTTAAACTTTTCTTTCCTCCCCTCCCTGCTTTTTCTACCCTTTGTCTTCCTAATTTCCATCTATTTACTTTTTCCTTTCTACCTTGGAGAACTCAGCTACAGTAGAGTCTCCCTTAGTTACCTTTGGCATTATTTCTCCCTCACTTTCCCCCTTCTCCCTTCCCTGCTGTACCTTTTGTTTTCCTAACTTCTGCATATTTACATTCTCACTGACCTCCTGTCACACTTCTAGCTTAGTTCATTCCTTGGAGATCTCACAACAGCAGAAACTCCCTATGCCTGAAGAAGGGGTGCTTGTGCCCAAAAGCTTCCAAATAATGTTTTTCCAAATACTTAGCTGGTCTAATAAAAGATTTCACATCTACCTGAAGAAGCTTGCCTGCTTTCTGGGTTAAAAACACACACCAAAGTGGCATTGTGTGTTGGGAATAAATGTGAAGCCAACCAAATACTTGGGCCAACCCTGGCAAGCCCTGGTAATAAAATCCTGGTAAAAGTGTGATCACTTTCGTCATCACACTTATGCTATGATGCAGACTAGCTTTCTATAAAGCTTTTTGTACCAGTGCAACCTCAGGTCTAATATATTTCAACAAAGTGAATTAACAAGAATTGTCCAGTGCTTAAAACACTAGCTGGAACTTATAAGATCCAGGTTCAGTTTTCAAATCCAACTTCCTCCACCTTTAGGTATCTAAACACTTTTTTAAAAATCTGGCTCAGTCTCTCCATACATCATTTTTTTTTCTTGTTTAAAAGGGAGATACCCAGTGGGATAATAATGCATCTATCTTGTAGGCCTGTGCGAGTTGGCAGTGATTGGCCACTTCGGATGGCCACGATCTGATCCGAAGCTCCGGACTGGGTTTCTGCCTCAGTCCAGCTGAAGCTTTGGAGCCTCCTGGGAGATCCGGCCATAGGGTATAATGGGGAATCAATGAAATATCTATAACTTTGTTGGTTTTTTGTCTGATTTGAATGAAACTTGCAGAGGTGGTAGCCTCTGCTGAGAGCATGAAACCTGCCAAGTTTCAAGAAGATTGGTATACGGGTTTGGGGGGAACTGTACCCCAAATTCTTGAAAGCCAAACTCCTGTCTCAGCTGTGTCACACCACAGGGGGTCAAAACTGCAGAGCTGGTAGCTCATACTAAGGCCACAAAGCTTGCCAAGTTTCAAGGAGGTTGGTGCAGGGGTTTGGGGGGGAACTGCATCTCAAGCTGCAGACAAGCAAAACTCTTGCCATGGGAGACGCTACATGTGTTAAGGTGCAGCGGGGTGACAGCTGCAGGGATGGTGGCCCCTGCTGTGACGCCTGCCAGCTGCGGAGGAGATCGGTGCAGGTGGGTTCTGGGGCCCTGCATCCCTAGCTGCTGATAGACAAAACTCTTGCCAGGACTGTGTCTGTCTTGGGGCAGTTATTGTCTGTACTGATTCTTTCCTCTCCTTAGCCTGGTTTTGTAGGTGCTGATTGATGCTTGTTAAGTCGTTATGTAGTAGCCAGGTCCTGTGTATTGAGCTGGCCCCTGAGTCTCTGATCCCTGAGTGAATCATGATTGATTGATTGATTGGTAACTGGTAACACAGCAGCTTCACAGCCAGGCCTGCAGCAGTCTCCCCCCGCCCTGCCCCAGG